CCTAAACAAGTTTTGGTTGATCTCCTAGCTGAGAACTTCAGCCGGTGTTGATTTTCCCCCCTCCCCTCCCGCCCCCATACGTTTTCTCTGTATTTGTAATTTTTAATTAATGTATGTATTCTTCGTGTCCTACTGTAAATAAATATGCCGTTGTCCTGTTGCCGTAGTCTCCCGGTCCCTGTGTGAGCAGCCTTCTGTGGTCTCTTCCATACATGCCCTTTGAGTTTCTCTTATGCAAAGCCCACGATGCTTCTTGACACTCGGTCACTGTCCGAAGTACATGTAGCCTGCTTGGATTTTCTTCCTAACTTTACTCTGGCAAATGTGGCTGAGGAGTCTGGGTGCCTTGCAGTCCAGCGTGCTCATCGTAGTGGGGGGAGAGGGAGGGGGAGCTTTGTGATGAGAACAAGTCGAGGTGCCGAGGATCTGTTTTTGGCTGTGCCGACTGGATGAGTGACGCTGGGCAGGTTGTACAAGTGTCCTCTGTCCGCAGCGTCACTTGTAAAATGGGGAGCTGAATCTGCCTTGTAGGGGGAGGTGAAGTCGTCAGCATCACGTTGGTAACATTACGTGAGAATATCCTGTAACGCCTCGCATGGGCTGAGCCTGCCCGAGTCAAAGCAGCTTCACCTGGACTCTGAGGGCTGTCTCATTCTTCAGGTAATGCTTCCTTCCTGGGGAGGGGATAGCTGGCCTAGCTTTGGTTTCAGAGCATGCGGCTAATGTTCAATTCAAGCTTTCCAAGGCTTGTTGCAGACTGACCTAGTTTGGAGCAGTGATTTGCTGTTGCCTGTGTAATGAGGGCAGACTGACCTGAGCTGTACGGCATGCGTCCCTTCCTCCCTGCAAAGGTAAGAGGCTTGTACCCGCCTTATGCAGAGATGAATTCAGTTGCGTGGGTTGGTGGTGTGTCAGTAGGTGGCTCTGACTTCTAGCTTTCCTCAAGTTCAACTAATTAATCCATTAGTCTGGCTACTAATTAATAATAGTCACTGGAACCAGGCTTTGGGGGTTTTAAGTATTCCCACTTTGTTGTAACTTGTAACTGATTGGTCTCCAGTAGCCAAGATGAATTTTTTAAAGGGTTGAGCTGAAGCAGGAAATGTTTTCGTTGTGTTGAAACTTCCTAGTTGTTGCTTAAAATGGGAGGGAGACTCTGGAAGAGTGCTGCTAACTAACCCAGCAGCGTGCAGGCCGCCTTGGCATGCTGGACGGGAAATGCCTTGCTGGGCATCCCTCACCCAAGTCTGGCAAATGCCGCTTTCATTCTAGGTAAAGCAATGTCGTTCATCCTACAAAATGCCTGTTTGGGCTGTGGTAGCTGGCTATCCTGAAGATTTGGAAGAGAACGCATGGTTCTTTCCACCTGGTCCTTGCTGTTTTGTGTCTGGACAGAGCCGAGGCTAGTGCTTTGAAATGCAAATGGCTTTTGTCTCTGAAGAGACAAGGCGCTTTATGGAATTGTGCAGGGTACTGAAGCTGCCCAGAGCCTCTGGCTCTAGCTGTGTAAACTGGGAGTGATGCCCAAGGCATGGGCAAGGTGAAGCTTCAGCATTTGCAGTGCACCGGGACCTCGTTGTTCTGTGGCGACCGGCATCTAGGATGGTACTTATCAGCCTGGTGACCCGCTGCCGAATTCCCGAAGGAGATTCCCACTGGGCAATAATAAAGATGCCCCTCCCTCTGCCAACTCGATTCCTAGTGTAAAACCTGCAGCAGGTGCCCTCCAGGGAGGGTCCTCTCTCTATCCGTTCATCGTACCACCACCAAGCCATCCTAATAAACCCGAGTGTTATGACCGTTCTGTTTAGAGGGATTTTTTTAGTGGTATTACAGGTTGTTTCTGTGCTATAAATGCGTGGCTGATGTCACTGGGCATCACAGCGTGGTCTGAGATTGAAGTGTGACTACACGACTTAAGTATGTTCTCGTCTCCCCCAGTCTGATTCTGGCGTTGCATTGCGAGCAAGTCCCGCGGTACGGCTGATCTGGTATCAAGCAGCTGGGTCCCCTTAAGAGCAGGAGCTAGGGTGCCTCCTTGAAAATAAATGGGAATGTTGTTTGCTGCTGTCAGGAAAATAGCTCTGGTAACCCAGGAAGTTGCTTCTGTCTCAAAACCAGCAGTGACTGTTGTAATCCAGCTATCAGGGAAGTCTCCAAAAGGTGGTGTGCTATTATCCCCTCCTTGGCATAAAATAAAACAGAGCTTGGTGTGCAAGTACACACACTCATGCAAAAGAGTTGCCCTTTCACCTCCATGTTCATAAGAGCCACGATTAAAGGCGCATCCAGAACCACGCAGAGAATTGGGTTTTGTGATCTGCCCTGAGAAAACAGGCATCCCCCCCCCGAGAAGCTCAGGACAGACAGTTCGTCAAATGCTTTTAATAAACAACTTCATTATAAAAACCTTTCAATTTGGACTTCGTTCTGTAAGAGAGTGGAAAAGCTAATTTAACAAGAGATGAGCTGTACATTTCCTAATGGCACTTAATATTTTTTACAATTTAAAAACCTTGTTTTATATAAAGCCCCAAAAATACTCCAATAAAAAGAGGTTATTCACTGTGTATAAAAGTGCTAGAAAGTTTCTTTAAGAAAAATAGTCCAGCTTTAAGGAGGGGAAGTGGTTGGCCTTTATGGCTAGAACTGTAGGAAGGGAGGTAGGAATGGATGTCCTTAACATACAGCATGGAAGAGGAAGTGAGCTGCATCCATGCTGTCTCCCTTCTACCAGGCTGAGAAGTTTCCACACTGCTTCTCCTTGGGGTGCTCCCGGCCTCGGGGACAAATGCTGCCCTCAGCAAGAGACCCTGCGGGCTCCAGCACTACCAGATAGGCAGTGGGAACCTGAGGGCAGAACTTGCCCCGCGGGAGCCGGGGTCCATCCCTGACAGAGAAGGCTCTCAAACGGACTCTGCCCTAGCTGTGAAGGCCACTGTTGCTTTTCCTCCAGCAGCAGATTCAGAGCTTGATACTTTGGGGTGAACCTGGATGGCTTCCAGAAGTTCTCTGCACTACCCCTCTTGCCACCATCCAGATTTCAGACCAAACACTAAGGCAGATCTTCTTAGTTAAATATTCTCGTTAAGGTAAAATATTGATACAAATGTTACAATAACTTTCTAAACAACAGGTCCTAGATATTAGGGAAAACTAACGAAAAAAAAATCAAGGCGCAAAGTAGGGGAAGGGAAATTGGTAAGCTCAAGACAAAAGGCTTCCAGCAAAAGCAAGATCTGCCACGCAGGCCTGAGCGCACGCGGCGAGAATCTGAATGTCAGCTCTTTGCCAGCCTCGTGGGTCTGCCGGCTGGTCGCAGCTGCGTCTTGGAGCAGGGCGGGCTGGCGAAGTTGTTACCTTACCTCGAAATGTAATGGAGAAGTGCCTGGGGAACTGCATTTGCTGGGGCAGATGCCAAATGAGGTCTTTGCAGCTGGGCGCTCAAATCAACTAGGCCTCACTGGCTGAGTGACACGTGTTGCAGCTATTCCTGCACTGCGGGAAGGTTTGTAGAGCCCTCCCTTGACCACCTCAGCACTTCTGCAATAGGCCCTGACGGTTCAGACTGGACAGTACGTTCGGAGTAGGGCACAGTGGATATGCTGAGCAGCAAGAAAGCAGAAGGGTGGGGAACTCTTAAAATCGGCTGGCTTTTTCACTATGAGGGTTGGCACGACCCCTGAAATGAAAACGAATTTAGCGAGGCTGGGTTCTGCTTTCTGTAAACTGCCTTGGGCCTTCCCAGGCATTTCTGTTGGTTTCTCTTTCTGCGTGCTGAGACAGCGTAATTCAGAAATGATTTCCAAGCCGTTGTGTGAATGAATGCTTGGGGGGGGGGGGGGGGGGGACGGGGGGGGGGGGGGGAGGGGGACTGGTGGGAAGGAATGATACTGCATAGCTTGCAGGCAGGTACGCAACACTAAACCTTGCATATCTGCTCCCAAATATAAGCAGGATCAAGAAAAAGTTGTTTCCCAACATTATTCAAAGCCAAACATGGCAATGCTGTGAGACTTCCCAGGAGGACCGGGCCAAACCTGGTAAGTGGATACAGAGGTGGCAGGTGAAGTTCAGTGCAGACAAACGGAAGGTATTGCTCCTCGCACAGTACGAGGTTCTGAACCATCTGGGGAAAGATCTACGCGATACTCATGCAGGTCTAGAAATCTGAGATGGGGAAGGAGCAATTGGGTTAGGTAGCTCAGTTCAATGGTAGTACTTGGTTATTCTTGACTGCATTAGCTAATGCTTGAGCCAGTCTAGTCTGAAATATCTTGGCTTCCACTGGGACGTTCCCCTTCTGGTTTGCTAGCATTCTCAGGTCTCACCCTTTCTTTTCTCCAACCTACTTTCCTTTCTCTAGTTTCTCCCCCTTACCCCTTTGGCCCACCCTCTGTCTTCCGTCTTGGCTATTTGCATTTCTTGGGTACTTAGACATGTGCCCCAGGGGGCAAGTCTATTAGGTGTGCTTCTATTAATCTCTCTCCCTTAACTGAACCTCTCAAGCCATCTCTTCATTTTAGTTGCTTTTCTCCATGCTGCTCTGCGCAGTAATGAATACCATGTGCTGGGAGATGGTGGAGTCGGGGCTGATGCATGGGTTGTGTCACTGAGCAGGCTACTCATCTTTAAATTCTCGCTGCATTATTTTCCCTGTTTATTAAATGGGTATGATACAGGGATGTATGCTATACCTCCATTTCTGTATTGTTTAGTACAGATGAGCACTTATCAGTCAAGTGAGATTCTGCCTCTGAGCTGTTGATTTGCTTATCCTGTCTAAAATTGCACGGGGCTTTTTCTGGCTGTCTTCCGAAACCATAAATACACATCTTATTTACTGTCCTCTCTTGCTCTGTCCCTCTTTCACGATTCTGCTTTCCAAAGGTCTCCCTTCCACCCAATGTTTATTACTGAGCTTTCTCCCACGTGGTTTACCTTCCACTTGTCCCGGTTGTACCTCATTTTATTACCTCCTTCCTCTGTCTGTCTGCATAAGTTCTGCATCCACACTGGCATTTGCAACACTTGCAATACATTAAAATACCTGTGCGCCAACAGTGTCCGACCTCCTATCCACTGAAGGCAACAAGATTGAGCACGGGTCTCTCTATTAAACCCTTCTATCCCTCATCATCAAACATTAATAATCTAATAAGACTGGCTCTAACACTGCCCCAGCCATCAGCTGTAAGCCTAGAAAGTATTTTTTTTAGAGGAAGGAACAGCCTGCCCATTCTGGACTGAGTCTAATGGGGCTGTGGTCCTTGAGTGGGAGTTATAAGCACAGCTGTCATATAGAGATAACAAGGCTTCTTGGGCTGTAGCACAGAGGTCATCCTTGCAGTGTGGTAAATTTAGCACTACATTTGCTATGCAATTGCTCCTAGCAAAAAACTCTTATCTAAGGCCACTTGAATTGGCTTGTTAAAACACTTTGTTTGAGTTAAGCAAATAATTGGTAGTGGATTTAGCTTCCCAGTGAGTTGCCCCAGCAGTTCATGATTTCTCCAAGAAATCACGTTCAAAAATAACACCAGTGAATAAGTTTTGCTCTGTAGATTGTTCATGATTAATTCACTGCATATACATGACTGCAAGCTTATGAATAATTTTCTATATGCAAACAAATCACCTGCAATTCATACTGCCAAAAACAGAAACATCCAACCAGATTTCAGTGCAAACACTTGGTGAGAGTTCTGGATTGGCTTCTCATTTCTGTATTTCCTCAGGTTGGTTTGAACTTTATGGATGTACTTGTAAGATTACTTGCTAGAACAGCCATAGGAAGCATGTGAAGTGTGCAAATACAGGGGAAGCTATTTATGTTGTAAGTGGAAGGGTGTCTGCTTTCAGACAGGGCTATTGCTGATGACATTTCAACAAGACATCTGCTTAAGGCACAAGGCAGGATGTTAGAAAGACAGAGAAGAGGGAAAAATACTACAGGACTGCAGAAATCTGATGCTTTCTCACCTTGAATAAAGGAGCAAGCTTGATTCCCTGTCTGTCTATTTTTGTCTGCATTTAAAAAAGGTAAAGAAAAAATTCAAAAAAGAACCTAGAGGCAGGAATCGGACTCGTGTAACAGAGAGCGAGACTATTTCATTCAGCAAGAGAAGAGCAAGGAGATATGACTGAGGTATTTAATAAAAATGGGTAACTCAACTCATCGATTAACCCTTTCTTCATTTAAAAGCGTAAGAAGGCACTAACTGGAATCTGAAGGCAACATTTAAAAATGGATAAAAGTAAGAACCGCTTTCAACCCAGGGGACTCATTGCCACAGGATACTGTTGAGGTAAATAAGACTTAAAATTTACAGGGATGTGAATGGAAGTAGCATCCACAGTTTCACTGACTAAGCTAAAATGTCAACACCTCTCTGTTGTGATGCTTTGTATGAATGGATCCCCAAATGGGTAGGAAATCACTAAACCATTTAATAAATACTTCAGTGAGGTGGAGGAAGGGATGTGCCCATGAACTCATGAAGCAGAAGTAACTTAAACAGGGATTAGAAGACACATGGCTAAAGACAAATAATGTGCATTAACTGATGGAGGTGTATACGTTCTTGGAGAAGGAAGGAAGGAAGGAAGGTGTGGAGACAGTGACTGGCTTCATTTGTAGAGTGACATAACAGGATAGAGGTAGATTTGTACTTCCTGGGTTGAAAGATCTATACTGATAGACAAGACTCCCTGGCTTCTTTTGGCCTATGACGTTCCTACATACTGAGGTATGAAGAACTGCATTTTATCTCCACAGATATGTGCTAAAATGTAACTGGACTGAACATGCCTAAGGTCATGGATTACTAAGCTTGCATAGGAGTGCCCGATCCCATGAGAACAGACATGTAAACAGGAGATGTATCGTTAATGGCATTGGGAGTCTACTGCCTTCTGTTTAACCTGTCTGCTATCAGCAGGGCTGCAAGAGAAGTGGACCCCGTTCAGGAGGTATGGTTGGAGAAAGAAGGAACAGAAAAGGCCCATTGCTTCAGGCTGGAGGAGAGGAAGGGAGGCTGTAGCCCCAGAACCTTAGCTACCTGTTCAGACTATTAGTGTTGGAGGAAACGGGTCAAAGACAGCGACCAAATGTTAACACCACTGGAACCAATTGTCTTTTCTCCTGACTCCCGGATGCCATTGCTCCACTAGGGAAGCCAATACCTGTCACTGCTTGAGACTGCTTCAGGTGTCAGCCAGAAAAAGATGCTGCCTCACACCTCATCCTTCATCTCCTTGGCTAACCCCTAGAGCAGAGGCGCGCAGATGGCTCCCCTCTGACAGCATCTGGTGTTGTGGGCCACAGGCGGTCAACCTTGCTTTTTCATACTTTGGTTTTCAACATAGATCTGGGATGTGAATGATGGGCCTGTTTTTCTTTCTTTTAAAGGGCTCTGTTTGTTCAGCACAAAACTGAGCTGAGGTGTGTAAGCTGCTCCATCCTACTGACTCCTATGCATAGTCAGAGAACATGCAATAAGCTGCCATGTACAATGGCACCGCCTGAAGTAGTCCAAAGTCAGTTTATTTCCCCACGGGGGAAAAATGTGACAAGTGAAGAGAAATCAGTGCAACCTGACTTTCTCATGTAAACAGTGTTCTAGCTGCACCAGATACAAACCTAGGCTTGCTGGTGCCTACTGTTGTAATGATGGAAACCGATACCTGTTGCGTAAACAAAGTTCATTGGAATAAAACTAGTCTAACAGCTCTGCAAAGGAAACGAGGTGATGTGTCTCAATTCATCATGTAAACTGTTTTGTTGCTGATTAACACTGCTGCAAAGTGGAGTAAGCGGTGAAGGTGATGGGATGGAGGTAGTGGGGAAGGGCAGCCTCTTCCCCTGTCTGCTGAAGTGGGTCAGCCATTGGCCTGCTTCACCTCTGAATGCTGACAGTTATGCCAGAACTGCAGTGTGATAACATGAAATGGGTGCTGGACTCTTGGAAAGCTTAGCCTGAGCCTACCCAAGACAAAATAGCCCCAACTCCTCCTCAGTTTCAGTCCCTTCCCAAAGAGGAACAAAGCTCCCAAATCTCGGGGAAGGCCAGTGCTAAGTGTGGCTCCTGATTCACAGATTAAAAATGAGGGAAAAATCCCCAAGTCTATTAAGTGAAATCATTTCACTGCCCAGGACTGGGACATGCACTAACGTATCTGCTGTTCCAGCCGACAGACGCTCCCTACGGAGACCAGAATCCTCCTGTCTGAAACAGCTCTGAAACGCTTCCTTGCCCTCATGGGAAGATACAGGAGTTGTGCGTTTTTAAGGCAATCCAAGTACGTGTTATGGGAAGACCTGTTCATCAGTGCTCCTCTCATCTTACTGGAACGCCTGGTGAAAACGCGGCAGGGTGGTTGTGCTCAGGCTGGAGGTGAAAACAGGGGGTAACGAATGAAGGGGGCCAAAGTTCAGGGGGCCCCCAGCTCCTGAAGATTCTTGAGGTTGATGTTGCAAAGTGGTAAGCAGTGGCTGGGTCTCCCCCTGTGAGTAGCCCATGACCAGCCCCCCTGATGATGCAGGTGGGTTGCAAGGAGGAAGATTTAGGGGGAGGAAGCCCAGAAGATGAGAAAAGTCCATGTTAGCAGCACAGAGAGCCTCTGAAAGGTTAGCTGGGCTCTTGGAAAGCAGAGCTTCATCCAGAGTGGCTGGCTGAGGTGAGGAGGACTGAGGCTCTCCAGATGAGACCGACAGACTGCCAGGGAGCTCTGACAGAAAGGTGTCCACCTCTGCTTTGGGTAGTTTCTCAGGCAAGTATGAGGTAGATCCGAGCTGATATTTTGGAGGAGGTTGTGGTGGGGAGGAGATAGGTGAAGAAGATTCAAGAGGATAGCTCATCCCCATTGGAAGAGAGCTGGGAACCAAAGAATGGGGCATCCCTGAGCTTGGCATGGCTTGGAGGTGTGTACTGTACATGCCCATGGGTAGCATGCTAGGGAAGCTCTTGCCACTCATCATGTCTCTGGATGCCATACATAAAACCGGACTCAGCTCTTCTTTTATTGCCACAGCTGAGCTGCAGCTCAGGAGACCCAGCATGTCCACTGGCTCCGTCTTGATCTTCAGCAGTTCTTGGGAGTGGCTCTTCTTCATGTGCCTGGTCAGGTGGTCTTTCCGCCCAAACCTCTGGGCACAGTACTGGCACAAGAAGTCCTTCCGGCCCGTGTGCACCACAAGGTGTCTTCGCACATCTTTGCGGGTGTAGAAGCGCCTGTCACAGTGGTCACAGGGGTGCTTCTTCTCCTTTGCTCCACCAGATGCCCTCCGGGAATGAGCCTTGAGGTGCTCCAGCAGGACCTGAGTGCTCTCAAAGGTCTGTAGGCACACTTTGCAGCTGAGATCGCCGCTGGCAGCTGCGTGCATGGCCAGGTGTCGCCTGAAGCCAAGCTTGGTGTTGTAGTTCTTCCCGCACTCTGGGCAGTGGAGGGCTTCCTTGTTGGGGTCGTGTGTCTGCAGGTGATTGCGGAGGTGGTCCTTCCGATGGAACATTTTCTCACAATACATGCACTGGTGGGGCTTCTGGGCAGAGTGCGTGGCCATGTGCCTTTGGTGAAGAAAGCAAAATGGAGAAAGTTAGAACGCTCAACCCAGGATGCTAATAGGAACGAGCAGCTGAAGACAGCTTTGGGACTGTTTGATATACGTCCCCCAGGGAGAAGCTACTGATGGCTTGTGAAGAAATGCACTAGATTGTGGTAACCTGTTGCTCCAAACCGGGATTAAATCCTAACATGAAGCTTCTAGATGAGCCGCTTTTACCTTTTTCAAATTGTGTTCCATCCACCCACCCCTGTCAGTCTAATGAACTTAGTTAGCAAATTCAATTCTTCCACCCCAAAATGGAAGGTCTGGTTCCTTCTGCCTGACTATTGAGTGCCTGGCTTGTGATTAAATTACAGAAGTAGGTTCTGAGTGCTATTCCTGGCTCTACTACTGTTTCGCTTTGTGAGCTTAACTTCTGTGCTTGGGTTTCCCTAAGGCTAAAGTAAGAGCAATCGGAGCTCCTCCCATGGAAGGGGCTGAAGGAAATGCAAGGGCTTGTAACACATAGGACTCGCCAGCTTTGCAAGGTAAAAATGGTTTTGCCTTTTGTCAGCAAACCTGTCAAAAACCAGTGTGGATGGGTTTCCCCTTTGTCCCCACAGGGGGGAGAGGGGCTGTTCGTAGGAGGCACTCTGTAGTTACCTACCTGTAGAGTTTGTACTTGGATGCAAAGGCCTTTCCACAGTGCAGCTGAGGGCAATTGTAGGGTCTCTGCTCTGTGTGAGTTTTCAGCTTGTCCACGCTGGGGAAGGAGCTCTCGGAAAGTTCACACTGGCATTTCCCCTGACTTTCGGCCTCTTGACCTCTTTGCCGAGGGACTAATTTCCAGCCTGTCTCCTCCTCCTCCTCCTGCTTTGCATCTTGAATCCAGTTAGGGACATTGGGAAAAAATGCCGTCATGGCAGGCCTAGTAAAGCAAAGCCATGTTAAGTGGAACCTGGGCCTGCGGGTGTCCTGCAGTGGTGCTGCCCTGGCACAATCATCAGCTGGCAGCTTTTTTTTTGCTTTCTTTTTTGCAGTGGGATGGCTTCAACAAAGAGACACCTTCATCTGAAATGGCAGGACACTTGGAGTTAGGGCGCTGCACTGCTCTCCCTGGGCACAGTAACACACATGTCTGCTATAAGCAGTAATTGTGTGAAGACACTTATGCATGTACATATATCCACTGACCCACGAGAAACTCCTTTCTCCTCTAGCATTTCTTTTGGATAACAATTTGCTCTGAATAAGTGCCACCCCCTGTTGCCTGGCACACCAGACTGATCTGAGAGTACAGGATTTGCGAGTAATCCTGCTACCCAGCTATCTAATGAATGAGCAGCAGGGTAACAGGCTGGGGCATTCTTAGCAGAACAGTTCATTATGTGCTGCGCTGAATGGACACGTGAAGTTCTTCTTTGCACATGGAGTCCCACATCCCCCTCCTATTGGTTCTCTTTCTCTCTGAACTAAATATGTCTGTGATTCAATTAGAGATGGAATATTCCAAGAAAAAAAACATATCCGATCATCACATTGTCTTAAATTACTGAGAGCCAGTGTCAGCTGCTGCATCCTCCTTTGAACATGCTGCTTAGCTATATGGGTACGGTTGTGCGCTTACCCTTTCCTCAGCTCTGTCCTTGGACTACCATCCTACCCTCCTCACCTCCACATCCAAGTCCCCCTCTCCGTATTTCCTCATCTGCCCTTCTGGTTATTGGTCGTTGCTCGCCTACGGACTTCTTGCATAGCTGACCACAATCCCAAGTTCCTCATGTTCTTGAGTGAACAAGGCTAGAGGCAAGCTTCACAAAGGATCTTAGGTGAGCAACACGATGTTCCTGTGCCTAAGTTACAAGACTGTCTCCGAAAATGGAATCCACAGAGCTAAGTTAAGTACCAACAGTCCCTAGAATTGGAGATTCAACATGCTCAACACGCTGAGTCTGGAAACATCTCCACAAGCCAACAGGAAATGCTGAAAAGCACAGGGTACATCTCAAATCGTCTCTCTTCCTGGACTGCAGCCCTGAGTTAAGTTCCTATCTGATACTGGAATTTATAGCCTGAACCTCTTGCCTGGCACCATGGTCTAAAGCAGGGGTCAGCAACCCCCGGCCTGCGTGCTGAGCATGGCACGCAAGGCCATTTTGTTCGGCACACCACTGCCAGCCCGGGCTCTAAGCAGCTGCTGCCAGCCACAGAGCCCAGGCTGCTCCCAGCAGGCAGCTGGGAGGCTGCAAACAGCTGCTCCAGGCTCCAGCATGTCAGCACTCCGGCACCTTCCCAGGTAGACATTGTGGTTTTTTCAGCACTCTGGCCAAAAAAATGTTGCCTGCCCCTGGTCTAAAGTCATCTCTTCACTTAAGGCAACTGGCTCACTCTGGTTTAGAAGACAAGTGGTTTTCAACCTTTTTCATTTGCAGACCCCTAAAAAGATTCCAATGGAGGTATGAACCCCTTTGGAAATTTCAAATGGAGGTGCACACCCCTTTGAATGGTAAGTGTGGGTATTCACACACTTTTGATTGACCACAGTCATCTTTTGCAGACCCCTCCAGGCAACGTCTGTGGACTCGCAGGGGTCTGTGGACCACAGGTTAAAAACCACTGTTTTAAGCCATGACGTAGGCAGGGCTTCCCACCTTCTTTAGGAAAGCTACTGACAAGAGACTACTTGGGTTTTAGGCCCCCTCGGCCCGAAGTGACTCAAACCAAGAATGCCCTAACTGGCAGGCTATTGGATAAGCCAGGCCAAGAACACTGCCACCGTCTTGTTGAAGCCAAGTCACTGTGTGCCACACAGAAAGCAAAGCAGAGGGAGCCTGACCCTATAGCTCAGGGCATGGAGGGGCTCCTGGGTTTGCATACAGTGTGGGGAGCAGCAATTGACACTCAGGACAGAATTTCTCTGTGTGTGTCACAGGGACAATTGTGGGAGGCTAATGCATGCTTCCCATCTAATGTTTCCCTAGTGGTCTGTGCACGTTCTCTCTCCTGTCTCAGTGGGATGGCTACTAGTTGGCTTGCGGTCATGGATAAGCCCTACTGACTTTGTCCACCGACACAGGTTCTCTGAACCTTCGCTCCTTGGCAAACACCTCCTCTTGCAGTATCCCTTGAATCTGTGGATATTCTGGCTTCTTGGGGGGCATTCCCATTACATAATTAAAATTTGCATCAATCTCTGCTCTCCCGACAGCTCTGCTAGATGGCTTCTTACATGACTCCTACCCATCCCATCTTTTTGTCTTTGTGCGACTTTCCTAGACTTCTCTCGACACTCTCCTGCCTGGGAAGGGGTTAATTTGAATGCTTATTCTTACCAGAAAACAAAAACCCACAGCTGAGTGAATACCCTCCACCCCTCCTTTCAATTCAGCAGCCTGAGAAACTCTTCTTAAAATAGCATCTAACCCGTTCTTCACAGCGGCCTCTGAGGGAGGAACTTCCTCCCCACAAGCCAACAGGAGCACCAGATGTGGGCAGGATGTGCCGTGGGCCAGGGCATGGAGCAGTCCCTCTGTGAAGGCAGACTACACTCCTGAAGGCTTTAAACAGGGGAGATCACAATGGGCCCTAGCTAAGGATCGCACCATGGCACCTTCAGGCAGGATGGAAAACACTAGGACGTGAGGAAGAGTATGCAACTGCACTGAGAAAGAGAGTTCACTTTCATTCATCTTAAATATTACCAGACCCTGACTGCCTGGACGGAGGACAACAGAGATGGGATGCAGTGCCGTGCTGTCTGAGAAGGACAGCAGAAATGGCTGGTGCCCTCCGTGCTCCTCCTGGTGCTTAGGAGCGCTGTGATTCGTGGCAGCCGGTGGCTTGCAGGTGTCTCACAACTATGGGGATCTGCCTTCCCTGTCATCTGGCTGCTGAAAAGGAGAAGTGTCTTTCTCAACCCAGAGCCATCTGTGTGTGCAGGGAGCATTTCTGCTACTATCTCTTCCCAGGGTATTTGTTTCCTTCCCTTTTAACGGGGCTAGCAATGGCTGCAGCTTTCCTGCCCGGCACAGCGGCGCTGACATCCTCGTCCGTTTCAAAGCTGCCTGCAAGGAAGGAGTAACTGAAACTTTTTTTTCTTTCTTCCTTTTCTCTAAGAAAGTCAACCTTCCCCTCCGCAAGGTGAGCCAAGCGCTCGCTGCGAGGCGTTAGCAAACAGCTTCCCTCCGGCTGATGGGTGCACCTTCCTCTCAAGCGATGTGCTCGGCTCTGAGCTGCGGTTCTGCGTGGCTCCGAGCGAGGAGCAATCTCCCCGCGCGCTCGCAGACGACACCGCTTCAGGCGATTCGCGCTGGAAGAGCCCACGCGCTTTCCTTGCAAACGCAAACCTCAACGCCGCAGAAACTGTAGGATTAGGCCCCTCCCTGGCCCGTCTCCCCGCGAAAGTTCACAATGCTGAGCAATTAGGTGGATTTAGTAAACCCGTGCCGGACGGAGCAGGTGCCCTTCTCCCAAAATGCCCCCCCATGAGGTAACCAGCCCCCCCATATGAGAGGAATGCCCCCCATGAGGTAACCAGCCCCCCCCCATATGAGGGGAATGCCCCCCATGAGGTAACT